AACAGCAGGATCTCACAGATCCCCTGCTGCTGTCCTCTGTAGTCGCGCAGTTTATAATATATTTTACGAGCTGTCAGCGTCTGGTTCCCGTGCATTCCCATGACAGGCCATCAAACCTTTCCCTTCATCATCATCATCATACACGTTAGCTAGAGGTGGGGAACACCTCAGCTACTGTGCCGCAATACATAGAAAAAAGGAGAGAAAAAAAAAGAAACTGGTGCAAGCTGGCTGAGCTACCGGTAACGGATGGGCATCATTCCGGTAAGCTAACAGCCGGCTGCTGTGCACCCAAAAAATTATTATGCAAAATTATATAAGGCTAAGTAATGAGATCGTGGTTGGAGGGGGAGGCTAAGAGGGATGGGGTGGGACAAAGAAACTCACAGCACGAACGCCACTGAGGTCGGCTCCTAGCCATATCAGCAAGTGTGTCCAACTAAACGTGTTCATCGTCTTTCGGACCCCAACCAGGGAGCCGAGACGCTCCAACCAAGGCCAGCTCAGAAGTGAGGGTCTTCATTCCTCTCAACCAAGTCATCGCTTGGCCACCCCTCCTCTTCTTCCATCCACACCGGCGCGCAAACAACACACATCGCGGAAGCTGGTGGGCTGGCATGCGTAACACGTGGCCGAGCCATCGGAGCCTGATGCGTGAAATAACGGTGCTAAGCGGTTCATTTCCTTTTCCTGTGCCATAAACAAGGCGTCGAACACGCTCGTTGCTCACGCGGTGTTCCCACCAAATGTGAGCTAAATTACGAAGGTGCCGGTGGTCGAACGTAACTAGCCAGGTTTCACAACCGTACAATAGGGTCGAACGTACTGCTGCATTGTACACTCTACCCTTCAGGGCAAGAGTGATGTCGCGCCGGCGCCATAAGTGTCGAAGATTAGCAAAAGCGCCCCGAGCTTTTGCTATACGATTCGTGATTTCATCTTCAATCCCACGGGCGCTGATACAACTTCCCAGGTAGTTGAATTTTTGAACGACTTCTAGCTGATCCCCACCAAGGGTCAGCGTAGGAGGCGGTCCACCCCAATCTTGGAGAAACGCTTTGCACTTCGAGGGTGCGAAGCAAAGCCCGAAGTGACGGACAGCTAGTGCTAATCTGTCCAGTGCCGCTTGGCACGTTTGTGAGCTGTCACAGATGAGGGCAATATCATCAGCATACTCTAAATCAAGAAGTCGTTCTCCTCGGAGTAGCTCCACACCTTCTAAGTCGTGTCCTGTAAACGCGATTTCCATGACTTCGTCAACAGCGAAGTTGAAGAGGAAAGGTGACAGCGGGCATCCTTGTCTCGCCGCTGGAGATATTAAAGGTCGACGACAACTTGCCGTAAGCCCTCACTCTGCCCGAGCTACGCGCATATAATGCTCGGATAATATTTACATATTTCTCAGGTACACCTTTCCTGAGTAGACAGTCCCAAAGTGCACATCTATCCAACGAATCGAATGCATCTTTGATATCGAGGAACACGACAACGGTGGGCTGCCAGTATGTGTGACGGTGCTCCAACAACTGACGCAAGGTAAAGATGTGGTCAATGCAGCTATGACCTCGACGAAATTCAGCTTGCTCTTCACGAATCTGGCTTTCACGAGTGCCAGTCAGTCGGTGAAGGAGGACAGAGGCAAGCAATTTGGAGGCGATGGAGATCAGACTATTTACTCTATGGTTTCAGCATTCCGATCTTGAGCATCCCTTGAAAATTGGGACTATGACGGAGCGGCTCCAATCGGTTGGGACAGTTTCCTGCTCCCACAGTTTGACTAGTAACTCGTGTAAATCATCCACAAGAGCAGGTGCCCCGAATTTGATGAGGGCTGGAGGAAGATCATCAGGTCCCGCGGCTTTATTTAACTTAACAGTTCGATCTCATGTTCGACTTCATAGCGAGAGGGTGGATCCAAAGGAACAGCCCACGGAGCATTGCGATCACTGGTCGGCGAGAAAACTAACCATTCCGACCGATTAAATTGCCTTTCAAATTGCTCAGCCCAACGTTCCAGGCGTTTTGATAAGTTGTGGATAAGCTGTCCACTCTCGTCACGTATAGTTTCACTAACACCAGGTCTCCTGCTGTCCGTTTCCCGTATCAGACGGAATAACTCACGATGGTTATCAAGGGCAGCGGCCATTTCCATCTCTGTTGCACAACGAGACCACCAGGATTCGCGGCCTCTCTTCAGGCTAGCACGGAGTTTTGCCCGGAGCTCTTTGCGAGTTTCAATGTGTTCGCTTCCAGCCGGAATATGCCGGCGAGCATCCATAAGTTCCAAAGACTGTGAAGAGACCCAATGTTCATGTTGGCGATTAGACATACCACATGAGGATTTGCCTGCTGCTAGTAGGGCCTGTTGCATATGAGACCAATGAGCTTCAATTGCATCCAGTGAGCGTTTATCCAACTCGCATGACAGCGTAATTTGATAGGCGTTCAGAACAGCTGGATTCACCAGTCTGCCGGTGTCAATGCGCTCACAACATCGTCGCGGGCGTCCGCCAAAGCGCATCCGCAGGTCAGCACATACAAATGCATGATCTGTGTCAACACCTTTGCTCCCTTAACCAAACGTAAACGAAAATTTGAAGCTGGTCTGGCGCGTGCCCTGAGCGCTAGTATCCAAGATTACATCGACTTACTCTCAGTCCTCGAGAAGCGATCTCTGCCGACGAATGTCGGTTCTGACATGTAGGGTTGAAGCTGTCGCACCCTGTTTCATCATCGGCCGATCAGCATATACAAGCTTGGAGACCACAATTTGCTTGCGGTCACCCAAGAGCAGGACCTTGGGGTAATGTTTCAAGCTGACCTCGGTTGCTTAGAACAATGTGAGACGTCAAACATCGGAAAGCAACAGGTTTCGCTTCTGCGAAGGACATTATGGTGTTTGATCCATCTGTCTAACAGCAGATAGTTAACAGGTATATGCGGCATCATTTGGAATACCAAATCCAGATTTTGCAGGTCTGGCAAAGGCAAGATATCACAGCGCTTAAGACTCCACAGCGAAGAGCCACAAAGTACTGCAAAGCATTCTTTCATTTGCTATATCAGCGCAGGCAGAGTAATAATAGTAATGTGTCAGCTGTACGCCATAACGGTGCTTTGCTGCCGAGCGACCACCACCAGTCGCGCGGGCTGAGTATACCGCAAGGACGCCCACCCCTACGCGGATTCTAAACGGTGATCTTATGGTTGCAAAGCAAACGAGCAGACCACTCGGCCACCGGCCATCACAATACAGCCAGCTAGAATATTGTTGGAACTTTTACTTTATTCGCGTGTGCAAGCCATGGAAAATCCTCTCTTATGACGTTGTCTCCGTTCCCACATTATGATTGTTTAAAAAGCGCCTTGACGTCGCTTTGACCCACGATATATAGCTTTGTACATGGGGAGACGATATGTGTTGAAAACGATGCACCAACCAGTATTTCCTCACACAATCAATGTAGCACCTACTACGCATGCCTTAATGCGAACACTACGGTGGGTCCGCCAAAACGTTTCCCACTGTCTCACTATGTTTGCTTTTTCGATTTTGTGCTTCTCATTCTGTGCATCTTAGGGGATATTTTCGCACATGCGCCTTTTACCCTTAATACATCGTCGTTCGTTTGTTCACCGTACCGCGATTAGTCTGCATAGCAACATGTGTAAACCACTACACTCGGTTGACAAAGATCATTCATGCAACAGATTACGCAGATGAGGCATTCATTAATGCAATGGTGGATATTTACCAAACATAACCAAGGGAAGCTAAATATTTTAGAATTTCAGAGTTGGAAGTGTATCACAAGTTGCTGGCTTTTGCCGTACTCATAAGACGGCATGATGCACCATACCATACGGCATAACTGAAATTCTGCACGAACAGCCTAGAGTACGTAGGGCTTTCTGCTGAATCTAACCTTGGTTTCCACAGGACAATCCTAGGTGTTATTAACAGTAAAGTTGCACGGTGGTGCGTTCCGTTAGAGTGGCCAATCGTATAACACCTTAATAGCATACACGTTTGCTTCACTCTCTCGCCTTCGTAGCAATCTCTGTGTCTTTCTCTTTGAAACTTACGCATTTTGCGCCCAAATCCCGCTCAAAATCAGCCTATGGATATGCATACAAACAACCAACTTTATCTTCGATTACGATCTTGTTTACATTGGAGCAATGTACCGCGTTCTTTAGCTTACTTATACTGACACCTTTAGATTCCGCAACAGGCATCAGAGCACCTCAGTTTGGTCTCGAACGTCCATAGACCACCTTAAACGACATTGCTTCAACAGCTCTCCTAAGGCACGTTCACACGTACTGCTACTTCTAGAAATTCGTGCACTTAAGCTACACAAACTTCTTACTCCTGCTTACTTTTATCTGATCGTTTGTTTGTAGGAAGCGTCATGCCAGATTTAGTTTTAGTTTTTAAATACCTTTATTGGCAATCTATTAATACCACCGGTACCTTATTTTGATTCGTCGGGACGGTAGTAATGGGGATACGGGATGGAAGGATACTGACTTATAGATAAAGACTTGATACGCAAGTAATGTTTAAAATCTATGACGGGTTCAAAATGAGTTGTCAACGCATTGCTTTATAGTCCAATCAATAAGGGAAACGCGCAGAATGTAAAGGCGAGTGAATCTTAATTTAGCCAGTGTCAAGACGGAAATCTAGTTACATATGACGTCTCGAAGAAATGCCATAAATACGCAGTCCTGCCTTCATTTTAAGATTAGATAAGAGAAAGTAATACGTACTACCGTTGTATGACCTCACTTGTGGAGCCTAAAGTTGTGTACATGAATAAATATTGGAAGGAAAATATCGTTTGTATGCAAAGGCCTAAGCATATAGAGTAGTTTTCCCATACAACTTTCATCCCTTTATTTAGTACATGCAACCTTTATGTTGAGCATAGGTTCATATGGCAACTCAGGTGGAGCCTGAGAAGCACTAGATTTTTTAGTAAGAGTTCGCTCACCTGAAGCATGTGGGAGACGTCGAAAACTCCACATCTTCTGCGGACGTGATTGTGGCTGTCAATTATACTTTGACTGTTATATTGAATAGGGAGGCTATATCCGCAGAAGTTGATAAGTTTGGCATTTTGAGCCAAATGGAAATCATAAAGTGGTGTTCGACGACCTTCAGCTTGTCCAGAATGCGTTGTTCGCACAAACGCTGCAGGGTATAAGAACAGTCGCCGAAATCCTGTCATGTTCAATCTAAAATAGAGTTTGCATACAATCTTGCAGTAATGAAAAAAGAGACGTCAATAAAAAGGGGAACAAACTGTCTTTGGACATGTGGGCAAAATAGCATATTTCTGTTAAGTGACGTAAGGACATTACCTAGGAATATCAATGGGAGACATAGCAACAAGATATTTGGTACTGCCAACAAATAGCAGTGTCTATCACGTCCAAGAATATGAGTATTCAATAAGATCAAACTGGTTTAAAGTAATGAAAGGACTATGCAAAGCAGATTTTATGTTCCGAAGTTTAAAGAAAGCGACCAAACATTACTGTCCCAGCAGCACACAAATTTTGAATCCTATAAGATAATTATTTCAGTTAATAATTCGCAATTTTAAAGCCTAAAAGATACACCAAGTTCTCGTTCCCAAATCTCTGAACTCATGTCTTCTCGATCAATTCTAAATAAACTCTAAGATAAAATTTTTAGAGGTACTTTTATATCCGCAACTGAGCCTTTTAAAATATTGGGAAAAACTCACCGTATTGGCAAGCGTCGCCCGATTCAATGGTTGGTTCAAGACTGCACTTCTAAAGTCTATGCTACATATGCGAATAGGTTTTAGCATAATAATGTGACGCTGATAAGTTATCCTCTTGTGATGGTTCTCCGGTCCATGATTACAAGACTTTTTGTGTGATAGTATCGTAGATCGTAATTGTCCTGCAGTATTTTGCAATATGGCGGAATGCAAAACTCATTCCGCGTTTCGATCAAGTATCTATTTGCATGAGGAATAAGCGTACCATTTAATTGGGATCACAGATGTTGTAAGTAACAGAGCACTAATTCACATCGTCATGCATGTTTCAACAGTTTCGGTGCGACGACCAATAACTGTTCCTGAGTCTCAGGCTTGCAACACGACACAAATGCGGAGGCAGTCATCACTTTCGTGGTTGAATAGTTGTTGTGTGATCAGTCAATGTATATTCCACAGTCCTAAGTTGGCAAACTGACAAGTATGCCGGACAAATGGGAGCTGGGCCACTTATAACCGGTATACCTGAACGGTTGTTGGTTGCTCTAATGTCTTGCCCACACCACATGTTTAGTTCCAATACAATCCAAACGTAAAACAGGAGCTTAGACGCCAATAACATAATGAATGACCGGCAATTGTCTACTAGGGTAACCGGTGAACTGCTGACGAATGACCGACCTGTTTGTCACTTGTCGTCCAATTGATCCGAACTCCGAGATTTTTCGGTTATTCAGACCATTTCACTGTAATCTAGTCCATATATCGAACACAAGTTGCCTGTATGGAAATACTTTCGTCGGCCAGTTGTCTAGTCTGGATGTATTTTCGGTTGTTAATAGTAAGTTAACAAGGCCAAATGGATACAACCTCAAATGTATAAATACGAACGCTGAGTTACGCTTAGCCCGTGTACCGAGCTTAGGACAGGTTGGATCATTATACATACGGCACTAATGCTGCACATACATCTTATGCACTCATGAGTGGGGGTTTTTGCTGTTATTAATTGAGAGTTCGTGCAGCAGCTTCCTAACCAGATAGTCCTACACATGACCGGAAAAGACTATACTGCGGCTTCAACATTGTGGTCATCGTCAGTGGTGCGCATCCAACAAATTCATCAGGACTTGAACCCGTTGCCACGAACGGCTTGAATCACTAGACAAAAGCTTATGTCACTGGATCACGCAGGACAAGGGCGGATCGTAATGAGTGACAAGCTTACTGCAACACAGCATGTCCTATCTGTTGGAAGCTGCTTTGACGAATTCTTAATGATCTACATCGAAAACCGCCTACGCGTGAGTACATCAAACTATCCGCCTTAGCCGGCTCCAGATGCTATGTCTCACATGGCTACTGCCAGTGGACGTCGTGGCTTCTGGGACCAACCCTCTCCTCCGCAACGTTGGTAACTTGCATGGCAGTGTAGCATAAGACGTGCTATATTGTACTCAGATTGTAAACCATGACGCCCTGACACAGTCCACCGTGGCCCAGTGACATAAGCTGCTGACTAGCGGTACAAGCCGCTGATGGTCATGACTTCGGATCCTGATAGATCCGATGGATGCGTACTAATGATGATACTCAACGGGCTGAAACTGTAGTCTAATGCTTTTCCGGGCATGCGGAGGACTATCTGATTTTGAAGCTGCGGCGACGAACTCTCAGTTAATTATATACATTCAAGCGATCTGAACTAACATCAATCGTTCATGATCCTGGTAAATTTGTGTTATCAAGGAATTACAGTTAAACGAGTAAGGAGGAAAAATTACCTTTCAAAACTACTGGCCAAACCGGATAGCTGGAGGTGAAGTGAGTGCACAACAATCTGCTGAATTTACCGACAAATTCACAGTGGCCAATAATTATCCTTCCAACCACAGTGTGTAAGGTGTGCGAAAGTGGAGCACACACACTCGTACGGAAGGTAATGATCGTGTGCATGACCACTGCACAGCGCTTAGCGAATGTGGTAACACCGTGTTGTTAAGGTCACAACATCTGATGCATAAATATTTGTTATGGTCGACATACATTTAAGTACATTCAGATTTCGTAATTGATGCGTAGATGCGCGAGACACAAACTAGTACTGAAAGAAACCGATAAAGATGTAGACGGATAAACATATACAAAGCAACTATATACTGATAAGCGGTAAGGTCGATTGTCGAAATCGGAAGTATACTACAGTGAGAGCAGAGGGGACTTTTCAGAGGTATTTTGCGAATGCCTTTGCTGCGTCTGACCCTCTTCGTGAGCAGACCAAAGATACGCGAATGCACAGTGAATATTTATCTGCGCTCACGTTTTCATTTGCACAGACGCAGTGCATCGCAATTTCAGAGTTCTCCAACGAACTTCTAAACGCTTCATCTTAGACCAGAATGGTCACCAAACAACGGTGTTAATCGGCCGTCTCAAGATTGCATTCTTCAAATATCCGCCTCGAACCTCACCTAGTCCAGCCGCATAAGTAAACTCACCAGCACGTGCATCCTCCGCACCAGGCACCATAAACCTATCTGCTACCCTTGACCCTCCGCAAACCCAGCCCCAACCTAAGGCAACTCACCAAAGCAGTGGGCAGGTCAAACATCCGATCCGCTTTTTAGATTTTGTTAACGATCCCTATACTCCTTGACATGCGTATTTTCCACTGCATGTGCTAATTGTGTGATTTATTCACGAACGCTCTGCAAAACGACAAAAAACAAAAATGTGCAAGCATTTTTGTTTTACACACGCCTCGTTTTCCACACGGTGTTACACCGCTTGTCCTGTTCACGTCCTACTCTCCCTGAGTTTTACATCCTAGAACTCAAGTCACCCGTGAAACTCCAGGATCTCCCGGCCTACCTCCTTAAAGCCCAAGTCTCATCATCCTGGCTCCAAGCGACCGGCAATTCCCACTACCGGTGTGACGACGGCTAGCCTGGCCCGTGAGCTCTGGGAAACTGATCCCCACAGACGACGTCCGGAATTCTTTATAGGACGATGACCGTTTGTGTCGTGGACTAGTATGGGAGCGAGTCCTATCCCATTAGCTTGGAAGACATGCGTCGTCTTTCTGCCTTCGATAAAGGTTACCTAAGGAGGATTGCTCGTGTTTGGTGGAAACACCGAGTTAACAGTAATGACGTTCGACGAATGCGAGTATTCTCTTCAACAAACTGATTTTGCTGCACCAGTTAAGATGGTTCGGTCAGTCTTCCACATGGCGACAACACATGAAATCGCTGACGTCGTGTTTAGCCGCTGCTGGATCCGTACGTCTTCCAGGATGGGGACCCAAAAATGAGGACTGTCAATGGTGTAACACTTCTGAAGACATGGCGCGCAACCGGAATCAGGGAAAGAATTGTGTACAGAATTGTATTGATTCACATGTTTAATGCTTCAAGATTGAAAATGACAAAAATGAGAAAAATCGGTGTGTGAAAAACAAACTAAAAATGTGTTGTGCTACTTCTTGTCAAAATGTTCTTTCTCTGAAGTATGTTGCTTACCTTCAACTATTATACCACGATGATTATGACGCGATGACTGTCCCTTATCCGCTAATCTCCACGGTTTTTTGTTGGCTCTGTGTTTAGTTGCCAGACTGTTGAGATTACATACATACTGAGGTGCGGTGCGGAAGTAACGCCTCCATGCGCACCATCGGGTCTACAAAGGAGAAAATGTACTGTCTGTATTTTTCTGGACTAGTCAGTTTTGGCCACCCGACAAGCCCACCCCGACAGCCCCACTGATGATGCACTCCTGTCCACACCCAAATAATGCATAAACAAAGAATCCTAGACCTAACGAACTCCACGTACCATCCTTCTGTCCGCCTGCGCTCACTACCATTGCTACTCTACTTTCTTGTTCTCACTTTGTCACTCTAACTGATATCCATCGAAGGCTTTCCCATTCAGGCTTCTAGGTGGAGACCACTGTAGTGAACATGAAACCTTTACGCTTTCAATATTTTGAAAAAATAAATTTTGTTTATGTTTATTTTCTAATCGTCTATTTGTTCAACTGATTTTACCTACCGATAACGTGCTCTCCTCGTGAGGTACGCTGCAAATTACTCTCTGCCTCTGCTTACTTGTCCTCTATTCTTTGTAGCGTTTATCAATACACGTTTGGTCCAGACGAGTTAACTGTTCTCCTCACTTCCATACTCGGTAAGTCTCTTACCTGCCACCTCTTGCGATTAGCATCCGAGTAGCACCCCACAGTTCACATACTACAGGGCATTAATGCGCCCTAATTTCTATTAATAGCGCCACCAAAATGAATTCTTATCTTTTGAATACATTTTTATTACCCACCGATTGAATGCTACCCGTTCTTGTTACCTCGCTCCCCACCCTCCCTTCATACGCCTCCTTATGTTCAGTGGGTTACTGGTCTGATGTTCGATTTGTTGGCCCATCGTCCCTTTTTCTTGCAGTCCATCGAATACAGTTCGTGGTGCGCGAACTTTTGCCTTCTAGCATCCGCGCTAGGTTATATGCCCATCTCGGGCTAATGTTTATCAATCCCTATTTTCTCGTCCTCAGTCCCGTGTAACATCTGAAGCCGAAATATGTTTGATGAAGTGACCATTGAAGCGCCCTGAGTGACCGTTTCAATGCTCCATGACCGTGCGAGCTGGACATGTTTGGGACAAAATTTGGCCACTCAAAACTTTTTCCAGCGCACCCATAACATACAATGTCAATGCGGAAAACAATTCACTTATGGTATTTGCGCAATACGATAGCCGTAAGGTTAAAAGGAAAACTTGTCTGAGTGACCCGAGTTCGTCCGAAACGTTTGCAACTCATGCGGCCAGGGGCACAAAATCCACCACCCATATTGACCGATATTACGTTTCTGCTAAAAGGTAAATACATATAGGCAAAGAGCTGCGGTGTTAAAGATGTGTGATAATATTTAACAACATATACGGATTTGGTTACGATTCCACTTGATTCAACGCAATTGGATTCCAAACCGCACAGGTAAGCTACTAATCTGGAAAAGCATCAGATGCGCATTTCTCCCTATTGGGGCTCGTCAGTTGCGCGCACCTTTCGCTAGAGGTCAACGCCAACTATATTATGCCATTTATGTCCGTATTCAATTTTTGCCATTGCAAGTGATCTAAAACACGCCTACGAGGGACAACTGGCCGTCCATTGGTGCAGCCAGGTGTTCTATTGCCACCGTTAAAGAAACACGTCGTTCAGCGTAATAAACAGTTGAATACAATTTGTTAAACTCACTTTTGGTGGTGTTTTTCTGTGTGTGTATGCTGCGATCAAATGTATCTACAAGTCGGGGAGTAAACGTAAATTTTGTAGTGTACAGGAAACATTTGCGTCTTCGGGATATTTTTTACCACGGAATTTATTGAGGTTCATTACCTCCAATTGTTCACTTGTTTTTCTGATTATTCATCCCGTTCACTTTCGATTTCACTGTGCGTAGTGCGCTATTTTGATCCGTGCTCTTGCTAATCTGTGTCCAGTTCGTCGCAGCTCTGCACAATACAGGTTGGGTCGGGCAAAGTTCAAATTTTTAAATAATCGGTATCCTACTTGTGCTCGTCGCCACCAGCACCTGAGTTTCGTAGTACACCTAAAAACATATCCCTTTGGTATTTTACACCATTGGATTTTATTATTGTTTGGTCTCTCTCAACTCCAATTGTTTGGTTGACTGCACATGTACAGACACTTCTTCTTTGGTAAGTCCTGTGCTACACGTTCCCTACCCTCGCTGAGTTGCTTCGCATTTACTTTGGCTCCAGTTGCCCCTAACTTTTCTGTCGTCCCGTATTTGACATGTCTTTTGCGTATCATTGCTAATGACCAGCCACCTAAGCGTCGCCCAACAATTGGTCAATCCGATGTGGCACTAGTGGCAAAGGGTCGCCCGCAACTGCGGACGGTTAAAACCAGATTGATCCCCAGACGCCTGACTACGTGATGCCGACAAGGACGCCCGGAATTCTTCATGGGGAGAGGACCGCTTGGACCGTGGACTAAAGTGCAATAAGAATGTTACACTTCCAATGTGTACCATCGCGTCTGCATAGGAGAAAATATGCTGTCTGTCGTTTTTCTGGTTTAGCTTGTACTTAGCAGTCCGACGAGTTCGCACCGATGCCCTAATTACGAGGCGCTTCAGTCCACATTCATGCAATAAATAATAAATAACAAAGTAGGACGGACCCAGCAAACTCTGCTATAGATTCCATTTTGGACGACTGTGCTCAAACACCTCCATAACACTTCGCACCAATCATAACTTACCTACTCTCTTGATAGCACTATCAAAGGCTTCCATCCCACAGGGTTCTAGGAGGAAGCTCTTGTAGTACAGCTGAGATAAAGTGACGTTTCGGATACAAATCAATAGCAAGGGCGCATAAAAGACGTGCTAAATAGGAGACAGCATAAAAGATAGAGGCAGCTTGACCCAATGTATATTATGCAGGCTACAAAGAATTGGAAGCGACTAAGTAAAGGCAGGGGACTTTAATACGGTAATCACCAGATGTGAAGACAGCAAAATAAATGGAGTTGAGGAAGGCTAAGTAATAATACTATCCAGTGTTATAGTGATCTAGTGATCCCCTGTTTGTAAATTATTCTAAAATTATAGTTTTCTTATGTATTAGGGAATTAAGCGATTTGCTTGTTCGAATGTTGTTTGGGTCACATGTAAGAGACTCGCATACGATCTGTTACGAAAACGGACGTGACTTGCGAATCGCCTGTCCTCACAATCAGCACCTGCTTATATTCTCCCTAGCTAGCTCTCCTCTGGTGTCTACTTACAGTAGCGACTGTTCAACAAACTGTTTCTAACTTAGTTTCGAGTGTTCTCCCGTTCGCTTTTGGTTGGCTGTTTAGCCGTGAAC